AGAACAGAGCCAGTGATTGGCATGATTTCAGTTAAATGAGACTTTTCTGCCTGGTAAACACCACTTACCCTTATTGTTACAGTCTAAAGTGTCCATGTGTTCTCTAAGTTCATTCTTTCCACCATCTTTCTCAATCTGCCTTAGTTTCCTGGTTCACTTAGGCGTCCAGAAACACTAACACCCGGAGTATTACTTTCCTGACTACCATGCTCTGCACTGGTGTTGCGTTCATTCCTGCCCCGGCAGATGTAAAATCTGCTCAGATGGGATGTTTCCTCCTGCAGAACTGCAGTTGCCAGCAGCAGCAGCCTAGCTGACTGATGTCTCTTGGTATTTGCTTTCTTCCAGATTGGAAGTACCTTTGGTTCATCAGGTGAAGAGGCACTAGGTAGCTGCCTTGTCCCCCATTTCTTGCACTGGCAACTTAATTCTTCTTCCCTTGGAGTTAGTGGCATACATGCAGAGTGGTGGGGTTGGGTGAGAAGGACAGAAACAGGATTTACTGGGCCGGGGATATAGCTCAGTGGCACAGCACCTGCCTGGCAAGCGTGAGGTCATGAGTTCGATTTTCAGTACCAGAAAAAAAAAAGAAACAGTATTTACCAACCCTCTACCCCACTGGAAGTGAAAAGGAAACCAAAACTGAGGGGACAACAGCAGACTGATGTGGAAGTAGAAGCAGGACCAGTTCTACCCCATTGTCTCTTTACCCAGTGAGGACCAGCCTTCGCTGCTTTGTTATCACCGCAATCGGCATCTTTTATTATCCTTTGCATTCTCTGCTCTGATGAGGGTAATGCAGTTGTGCTTAGAGAAAATATAAAGAGATGCGGGGATGAGGAGTGAGCTAACGGTTTACAAAGAACACTTTTATTTATTTTTAATATCTAGATGTTTTTGGGAGATGAATTTTATAGCTAAAAAGACTTCATTCCCTAGTGTGTGGCCTTTACTGTCTTGGGATAAATTAAGCCAGTGACTATTTAATTGGCAGACTCCAAGGGAATTCTGTTGGCTCCAAACTGTACCACATCTGTGTGACTCAGTGCTCAGTGTCCCATTCCAAACGTATCTCTGAAAGAGACACCATAAAACTTTTTTGGTGGTGGTAGCGTTGGTACTGGGGATGGAGCCAGGGCCTTCACACTGAGCGACATCCCCAGCCCATTTTTTGTTCCGTTTTGTGTTTGTGACAGGGTCTCACTGAGTCGCCAAGCTGACCAGGTTGGGCTGAAACATCCACCCTCCTGCCTCCGCCTTGCAGCCCACTATGCCCATCTGGCCGTAAGACTTTGCAAATCATAAAATTGCCATAATTTGGGCCAGGGACACAGTTAAATGGTAGAGCTCTAACCTACAACATGTAAGGCCCAGGGTTCAATCCCCAGACCCGAAACAAAAAAGGAAAATTACAGTAATTTCCCAAATTTCTTGTTTTGTCATATTTTGGTATATTAACATTCAAGAAATTGCTGACGCCAAAGCCAGGCATTTTGGTGCATGCCTATAGTCCCAGCTACTTGGGACACTGAGGCAAGGACTCAAGTTTGAGGTCAGCCTGGGGAAGACAGCAAGACCCTGCCTGAAGAGAAAAAGAAAAAAAGAAAAATTCCCCAAGCCAGACTTTAAACATCTAAATTCTAGATTTTATATAGTTTTTTTAAAAATTAAAAAACTGACAAAACAGCAATGAAAACAAAATCAAAACAACACAAAAACAACAAAAATGATGCATGACCTCAAGATAAAACGATAGAAATTTACAGTGGTTGCTAAATTACATACTGTTATCTTCAACAAAGTTGCTCAGTCCACTAGACATAAGAATGTAAGATTGATCAAACAAAGACAGTAACAAGCAAAAAACAATAAAAATAATTTTAAAAAAACATTGGAAATGATGCAGAACTTCACCATGCAAAATGGTAGGAGTTCAACAATGGTTCTTATGCTGTATATTGTTCTCAGATCAGTCATTCTGAGTACCAAATTCAAGGGTATAAAATTGGTCAAGAAAAAAGAAAATTTTAAGCATTGACTGTCACTCTCAATAAACCACATACATCAGCAGTACACCTATTCCAGCTATCCTTATCTATACATATAAATTTAGTTTTTCATTTAAAAAAAAACAACATAACAATAACAAATATATGAACAAAACAGCATAGAGAGCAATAAAAATACAGAATTTCAAAACATGGTGATAGGATATTAACAATGGTTGTTATACTATACAATGTCATCTTTCAAAATGGTCGCACATATAACCAGATAAGGTATGCAAGACTGATCAAACAATTTCTTTTCAATAAACCAACAGATAATAGTAGTACAATTATTCTAGCTATCCTGTGTATCTATATATACCTATTTTTTCCCTTTTCCTTCTTTATTTTTCCTCTCCCCTCCTTCATCCCAGTTGCTTCTTCCTATTTGTGCAGTTTCTTTTCCCTTTCTATTGTATCTTTCAGATTTTATTTACTCTTTCAGGTTCTTATAGTAGGGAGGAAATACGATGTTTACACATATGAATCTGATTTATTTCACTTATGACTATGGTTTCTAGTTGCATCCATTTACCTATAAAAGTCTTTATCTTTCTTTATAGCTGAGTAATAATCGATTGTATAAAAATACCACATCTTTTTTATCCATTCCTCAGTTGATGGACATTTCGGTTATTTCCAAGATTTAGCTATTACAAATTGTGCTGTTATAAACATGGGTGCACATACTTCACTGTGGTATGATGTTTTCAATTCTTCTGGAAAAATACCCAGGAGGGGAATAGCTGGGTTGAATGGGACCTCTAATCCTAGTTTACTGAGGGGTCTCCGGACCGATTTCCACAGTGGTTGCACCAGTCTACCCTCCCAGTAACAGTGGAGAAGAGTTCCCTTTTCCCCACAGCCCCTCCAGCATTAGTTATGGGTTGATTTCTTGATGATAGCCATTCTTTCTGGGGTGAGATGGAATCTGTGTGGTTTTAATTTGCATTTCTCAAAGGACTAATAATGTTGAACATTTTTTCATGCATTTATTTGCCATTTGTATTTCTTCATGTGAGAAATGTGTCTTCTTCTCAGATGCCCATTTTTGTATTGGGTTTATGAATTTTGGGGGCCTGATTTTTAAAAATTCTTTGTATGTTCTAGACAGGAGTCCTTTGTCTGAGGGACAGTTGGCTAAAATTTTTTCCCAATTCGTGGGTTTTCTTTGCACCCTATTGATGATTTCTTTTAATGTGCAGAAACTTTTTAATAAGATGAGATCAGCTGGGTGTGGTGGCGCATGCCACCACACTCGGGAGGCTGAGACAGGAGGATCATTGGGAGTTTGAGGCCAGCCTGGGCTACAAAGTGAGCTCAAGTTCAGCCTACACTGCATAGCGAGACTCTGTCTCAAAAAGACCAAAAAAAAAAAAAAAAATCAATAAGATGAGATCCCAGTTGTTGATTCTTTGAAGCATTTCCCGTGCAGTTTGGTTTTTGTCCATGAACTCTCTGCCTACCCCTATGTCTTCAAGACTTCCACTTAATTGCTCTTCCATTAGATCTAGTGTTTCTGTTTTAATATTTAGATCTTTAAGCCATTTTGACTTTATTTTGGTGCATGGTGATAGGCTTGGGTCTAGTTTTAGTCTTCAGCATGTGGAAGGCCAGTTTTTCCAGCACCATTTATTAAAGAAGCTATCTTTCTTTTTTTTAATTATTATTATTTTAAAGAGTAAAAGAAGGATAACATAGTAATAGGGGGGCTCACCAAATTACAGACAAAGTGGTAGGAAATTAGCAATGGAAGCTATCTTTCTTCCAGTGAACATGTTTGGCCCCTTTGTCAAAGATGAGGTGGCTGAGTGTGTTTGTGGTTGTGTCTGCATCTTCCAGTCTATTCCACTGATCTTCAGGTCTGGTTTTTTTTGCCGATACCATGCTGATTTTATCACAGTGGCTTTGTAGTATAATTTCAAATCAGGGATTGTGATGCCTCCTGCCTTGCCTTTGTTTCCCAGGATTGCTTTTGCTATTCTAGGTCTCTTCTGGTTCCAGATAAATTTTAGGAATGTTTTCTCTAGGTCTGTGAGGTATACCAATGGTATTTTCATCAGAATTGCATTAAATCTGTATAGCAATTTTGGGAGTATGGCCATTTTCACCATATTGGTTCTTCCTATCCATGAGCAAGGAATATCCTTCCATTTTTTGAAATCCTCTTTGGTCTCTTTTTTCAGAGTAGTGTAATTTTCACTGTATAGGTCTTTTATTTCTTTTGTTAGATTAATTCCTAAGTATTTCAGTTTTTTGGATGCTATTGTGAAATGTATGGTTTCGCATATTTCTCTCTCAGTATGTTTCTTGTTTGTGTATAGGAATGCTATTGATTTTTGCGTGTTGACTTTGTATCCAGCTATGCTACTGAATTTGCTGATTAATTCTAGGAGTCTTTTGGTGGAATTTTTGGGGTCTTCTCTGTAGAGTATCATGTCATCTGCAAATAAAGATAATTTTACTTCTTCCTTTCCTATCTTTATTCCTTTTATTTCTTTCTCTTGTCTAATTGCTCTGGCTAGTGTCTCCAGAACTATGTTGAATAGGAGTGGTGACAGTGGACAACCTTGTCTTGTTCCTGATTTTAAAGTGAAAACTTTCAGTTTTTGTCCATTTAGTATGATGTTGGCTCTTGGTTTGTCATAGATGGCTTTTATCAGATTGAGGTACAGTCCATCAGTGCCAACTTTCTGTACGGTTTTTATCATGAGTAAGTGTTGGACTTTATCAAAAGCTTTTTCTGCATCTATTGAGATGATCATGTGATTATATAGATTTTATAGACTGGGAGAAACATTCTTTACTTTTCCTACTTGTAGCCTGTTACAGGAGTCTGTACCTGGGATCAAAGTCTAGAGTCCCTCAGTTATCTGGCAGTAAACAGCACAATTTAAAGCAATCTTACAAATGGCTTTTCAAAGCCTTGCTGCTTTTAAAAACCTTGTCCAAGAATGTGAGGAAGTTTTTTTCCCTTAACTTACAACTCTAATAAGGTCAGTACATAATTTTCTTTTTTTCAGAAGTTTTCTTAGACAGAATTGAAGAGGTACACATTTAGAGAAAATAAGAGTGTGGGCCCTCAAGAGAGAGAGACCTTTATATGTGATAGTTTATGCTGCCTTTGTAAGACCCAGTGAGGGGAAGCGGGGCATATGCGTACATATTTTTGAGGATGTTTCCTCCTTCAGGTCTGCCTTGTAACTGCGCAGACGAGTTTGTCCCTGTGTGTGCACAGAATGGACGCACTTACCCCAGTGTCTGCATAGCTCGCTGTGTGGGTCTCCAGGACCGTCAGTTCGAGTTTGGGTCGTGCATTTCAAAGGATCCTTGTAACCCTAACCCCTGCCAAAAAAATCAGAGGTAAGTCAAATGGCTACTTTCTTTTTCAACCAAAGAGCAGCACTTACAAGGCATATGCCATGCATGTACCAAACAGCAAAAACACAAAGGTGAGTTCAGAAATGGTCTCTGCCCCAAAGCCTGTGGAACATGGAGAGAAAGAGAGCCATGTAAGGCTGCTCAGCAGTGCGATGGAGAGCCCAGGTGTGGGCAGTTCATGCAGCCCTGGAAGGAGGGATCTCTGGAGGGTGCGACACAGCTGAATGTGGAGAGATGAGTGGGAGCCCGAGGCAGGGTTCTGCTAGAAAAGCTGGCCTAGGGGAAGGCGGACAGCAACAGCCACTGTGGTGGGTGCCAGAAATGAGGAGATGGTGTAGGGCCTGCCGCGAGCTCCTCAGTCATATGAGGCTGAAGCAGAGAGAATGACATAAGGAGAGGGAGTAGGTAAGACAAGAGAAATGGGTGCAGTCTTACAGCTATTTACGTCTGCCAGTCAAGGGAAATTTTCTCCTGCTTATATGCCCCTGTTGTAGGAACAGGATGGGAGAAACCTCAGGAAGTGCAACTTCTGTATTATTTGAAACTATGTGGTTTTGGGCTCCCTTCTCTGCAGTTTCCTCACTGAGCCCAGAGGACAGTTGCCCTGGCCTTGCTGGGTGTCTGCATGTGGTGAATGAGGACAGGAGTGTGGCTGACTGACATTTCAGTCTTCTGGAACTGGAGTTTCCACTGGCTGCCTGAGAGACCTGATCAGGCCACATCCCAGTGCCACAGTCCTTTCCTTGTGAGGGGTTTTGTGAACAACAAACAGGCAGTTGCTTCTTAAATTTGAAAACCCTGGTGCAGGCCAGGCATGGTGGCGCACGCCTGTAGTCCCAGCATTTGGGAGGCTGAGGCAGGAGGATTACTGCAAGTTCAAGGCCAGCCTGATCTGAGTAGTGAGATGCTGTCTCAAAAAGAAAAGAAAAGAAAAGAAAAAAAACCCTGGTGCAGTGTAGAGAGAGGGAGGAAAGGATTTTCTCACACGTAAATGAAATGGTAAAAACTTGGTTGCCCATCTGCCAAAGTTTAGACAATGAAAACTAAGCTGAGAAATTACTACGGAAAGAAGACAGGATGTCACATAGAAGAAATAAGCTGAAAAGATAATACTGTGTTGGTCGTAGAACTGGGCTATTTCAGTGTTTGTTTTTCTCTACTGGCTAAACTTCCCAAGTAGTTTCTTGCTTTTATAATAAAACAGTGAAAAGAAATCTCAAAGCAGAAAGACTTTTCTAGATACAATACGAAGCCAACACAAAAGAAAAGACTGGAAAATTCAGCCAAGTGAAAATCAAAATTTTCTGTGTGGTAACAGACAAATAAACAGGGAAGAGCATCACAAGGGCTGTTGTCCTCGTAAGGAGCCCCTAGAAATCAATATGAGAAATGTAAATGTAAGTAAAAAGGGGCAAAGATCAGTAACCTAGTAGAAAAATGGGCTGGAAAGCAAATACTTGAGAGATGGCCTGGATTCTTAAACACTTGAAGGAAATGCCTTTATTTGCTAGGGTAAGTAACTCGAGATATTTTATACAAATCCTAATACCTCTTTACTTTCACATAGAAAATGAAAGAAATCCATTTTATTTGGCCACAACCAACTGCTAGGAGGACTGAGAAATGTAATCCAGATGTATGCTCCAGAAGAAAACTAAATGAATTTGCTGGTGTGGTGGTGTGTGCTTGTAATTGCAGCACTTGGGAGGGTGAGAACGGACGCTCCTGAGTTCAAGACTAGCCTGGGCTACAGAGTGAGACCTTGTCTCAGAAAAGAAAGGGAAAAAAAGTAATGAACATGTGACTGGACTGCTCTAATGCTTAGCTTTCTTCATATTAAGAACAAGCCCTTCTTAATATAAATTAAAACTACCATTATGTGCCATTTTCCATCATTCAGATTGATAAAGACAAAAAGGTTAACAGCATAGAAAAACAGGTACTGTCATACACAAGGGTCTTAGGAGGGTTGGTATGTCTTCTCTATTTTAAATGTACATGCCCTTTGGATCAGCACATAGGAATGCTCACAGAATATCTCTGGGAGGATAAATAATAAACTGCTAAGAGTGGCTGCCTCTGATGAAGGGAACCTAGGTGGCTGGGACAGAAGAGTAGGACAGAGACGGACTTTTCACTGTCTACCATTCTGTACCTTTTCAATTTCACCATGGGCTTGTATTATCTGTTCAAAAAGTAATTGTTTAAAAAAGAAAGATTGGCAGGTGTGATGGCGCATGCCTATAATCCCAGCACTAGGGAGGTCAAGGCCGGAGAATCGCCATGAGTTTGAGGCCAGGCTGGGCTACATGGTGAGTTCAAGGTCAGCTTGAACTATACAGTGAGACCCTGTCTCCAAACAAACAAACAAAAATAGATTGTACTTGCTCACTGTCCATGCTGGTGTACCAGGTATCTTCCCCAGTGGTAGGACACAAGCGAGACAGACCATACTGCCCTGAGCATTGCACTTGCATTTGCCCTGAAGACTCCTAGCATTTTCCTATGATCCTCCTGTTTCCATATACTCAAGTTGACCATTTTTCCTCCCCACATTACCAGATTTCTCCAGATACTTTCATACCTTTCCTGTTAATAGATAATGAAGCTCTAAATACTCTTTTTCCATCATTCCTCTTCAGACACCTTAAATTTCAGTGAGCCCTTCAGTGCATTCCCACTTGAAGTCACATGAACGAGGCAACCACACATAGTGCTGGTGACTTCAGCACAGGCTTAGCCCTAAAAACTTCGCTGTGAGATGAACGTAACACTAGCTACTGTCTTTCTCCTCTTCTGTTTTATAGACCAGTATTTGTATATTGTTTCAAATACCCAGTAAAAGCTAAAAGTTTGCATGGGTCCTATAGAAAGTTATGTATGTCCCGTATAAAACTTAGGAGGGCAGAAGAAGCCTGGAGCAGAGAGCCAGTACCTTAAACTCTCTGAGGGAGTCCGGGGTGTGGAAGGAAGCAAGACCTAGACCCTACTGGGAAGGAACCATGCGGGTGACATTCTCTCAGTGGTTGCACCCAGCCAGGCTCGTTGCCACAGAAACGTGGGTGTTTTATGACAGAATGAAGCCTTTTCTTAAGATGCTCACATTAGCCAAACTGAAACTTGGCTCCGGAAAATGTTGCATTTATTACTATGAGATCTCCAGGTTCAAACCCCAACCCACGTGTTGGCCTTAGCACGGGACGGCTGTTCTGCGTGTACATCCTTGACTCCTGCTCTCAGGGTCACCCGCTGTTTCCCCAAAACCACACCCTTGAGCACACCCTGTGTTCATGGCTGCCCTTTGAGACTGGCCTACCTGCGGCCCTCTGTGCTGGCAGGCTCCTGCTAGGACACCTGCTCACCGGTGCACTCCCCGCTGCGCTCCCCGGTTCCTAGTCATCATTTCATGCCTTGTAACCTACCGCGTAGGCATGCTTGACTCTTGCTCAGCATACGCTCCACAGAGATAGGACTGTTTCAGTAGATTTCCTCCTGTCCTCAACCCCCTAGCCTCATCTAGGGCTGTGCCAGCCCTGCCACAGACCCACCCTACATCCGGCTTATAGTGCCTCGTTCTTGTTTTTCAGATGTGTACCCAAACCCCAAGTCTGCCTGACGACTTTTGATAAATTTGGTTGTAGCCAGTATGAGTGCGTGCCAAGACAGCTCTCCTGTGACCAGGGCCGAGATCCTGTTTGTGACACAGACCACATGGAACACAACAATCTCTGCACTTTATACCAGAGAGGAAAACGCCTCTCTTACAGAGGCCCATGCCAGGTACATTGTTTGCACGACAAAGCAAAGTGTACTGGGCACAGAATTGGTGATCTCTGAGCAGTAGGCCACCGGAGGGTCTTCTCTGAATCCTTTTAAATTTAGAGAAGCCATTTCTTCAGTAAAAAAGAGGAATGACTCTTAACTCTGGAAGGCTGTCTGGCCAGAGTACAGGCAGTGCACTCTTAGGAAAAGAGCTAACACCATTCCCCTCCCATCATTCTGTGGGTGCCCACTAGAAAGCAAACCCAGCGCACTACAGGAGGACAAATTAAAACAAGCAAAGAAAGTTTTCTCACTCTTCCCACGACTACCCAGCCTCCTACAGTACTAAAAAATGACTGAAACTTTTGCTTTTTGTATTTTAAGTCAACTTACCTCGCAGTCTTTTGCGTTCCTGTTAAATAAATATACCAAAGGACAACCCCTTAGAGGCTTTCTACCTGCACTGCTGATTTCATGCTGGCCTCTCTCCTAGGGGACTCCTACAATGGGCCCTGCATGCCCTGCCCACAAGCCCCTAGCGCCTGACATGATTGCATCTCATCCCCAGATCTTCATAGTTAGAGAGTTCCCATCAGCTCGTCTGCTAAGCCTGTTTTCTTTCTAAGTTGTGTTCCATTTGTGCTAAAACCATGTACTCTGAATTCTCAGTCTTCTCTTCCTACTTGTTTCCTCTTTCTGCCTATGACTTAGTTTTCTCTGCTGTATGCCTAGCCCACTGGATGAGGCTAGGCTCGGTCTGCCCACCAATCTCTCTGCTCTTCCCTCTTCCTCCATATCCAGCCTGCAAGGACAAAGCCTCTGCATCTCGAGGAAGATCAGTCTTGTTTTTTCAAGCAGATGTTCCAGGATATTAGACATCTGGGCAGAGGGAGGAGATTATAAGAGGGGACACTTTTACTTTGTAGTGGTTCATGTAGAGTGAGCACCCACGGCCCAGAGAGGCAAAGAAAAGTGCTATAATTTCTTCAGTTCGTCTTGAGACAGCCTGTTGCCTTCCACTTCCCGCTTAGCCCACCTCAAGAGCTTACAAGGGTCCCTACACTTCATACCTGTGTCTTCTCCTTTCTGAAAGGAGGGAAGTATGCTCTTCACCTGGTTAGGAAAGGTTGACCAGAATTTTGCAGCCTGAATGTGATTTGTTTCCTTCAGCCTTTCTGCACAGCCACAGAGCCCGTCTGTGGGCACAACGGCGAGACCTACAGGAGTGTGTGTGCTGCCTACTCGGACCGCGTGGCCGTTGACTACTACGGGCCGTGCCAGGCTATAGGGGTCCTCTCGGAATACAGCGCTGTGGCCGAGTGTGCTGCTGTGAAGTGCCCTTCGCTCTTGGCCTCTGGGTGCAAGCCCATCATCCCACCCGGTAGGCTGTGCATATTGGTGGTGCGCAGGGGTACAACTGTAAAAATGTGCTTGTCCACCACCAGAGAAGGAGTAATTAAGAAGAGAGTTGACCAGTTTATTTAAATTTTTCAAAACTCTTAAGACCCTTATGCTGATTAGACATACCACACTGGGTTGACCTCAGAGAGCTACGGTATCTTCCGGGCCGTGGTTTGGATTTGCTTTGCTTTGCTTTGCTTTGAGACGGGGTCTTGCTGTATAGCTCAGGCTGGTCTGAAACTCACTGTGTAACTCAGGCTGCCCTTGAACTTGCAGTGATCCTCCTACCTCAGCCTCCTGAGTGCTGGGATTACAGGCATGCACCATCATGCCCAGCTTTGGTCTGATATTTTAAACAATATGGCAACCCTCCCTCAAGCAGAATCATACACCAGGCACCAATATATTGACAAATAAAGTAGTATTTAACTACTAAAATTAAGGTATTAGTTTACATGCATAATATTTTTCATAATGTCTACTTTTAAAATTAGTAACAATAAACTAGTAATGAATGAAGAATCAAAACATTTTTGATGAACACTTTTTAAATTGAGAAAAACACAAGAAAATTACTGTTTTAGATTGGCCTTGGCGTTTAATGTAATTGGTTTAGTTACATAGAATCAGGAAAGTCCTGTTTCATGCCAACGGTTGAAAGCATTAGGTTTTGCTAAACAGCTTCCCTTGCAGTCTCACACTCTTCAGTTAAGCAGAGATGACAGAAGGGCCTTTAGTCCAGACCTGCACAGAACAGGCTCATCTGGCGTCCGCTGGGCTCACTGCTCCACCCATCCGTTCAGCAAGTGTCTGCCGAGCCCCTCGGGGCCAGACAGTCTTCCAGGCACCGGGGCCACGGCAGTGAGCCTCCCTCTCCCTCAAGTTCCTGTGCAGACCCGCACTGCGTGGTGGCAGCAGACACGGTGAAGCAGAGTCACAGTGGGTACCGAGGGCCTGTGGTGGCGAGGGCCCTGGAAATGGGTTGGTGAATGATCTCTGTTGTGTTAAAACATGCTATAGGGGCTGGGGATGTAGCTCAGCGGCAAAGCGCCTGCCTGGCAAGCACAAGGTCGTGAGTTCGGTTCCCGGTACCAGAGAAAAACCAAAAACCAAAAAAAAAAATGCTATAATAGCTAGGCAGGGGGCACATTCCTGTAACTGCAGCACTTATCAGAAGGCTAGGGCAGGAGAATCACCATAAGTTTGAGGCTATCCTGGACTACATAGTGAGACCCTGTCCCAAAATAACCTCCCTCAAAAAATATGGTGTAATACTGTATTTGATGATGCTGTGTCTTGTTACAGTTTTCTAAACAGTGTAAGATAATTTTGGAAATTAAAGGTGATGCAAACACTGGTTCCTAAATCACTAGTTCCTTTATCCTGCAGACAGAAAAACAAAGACTCAGTGAAGGCATTGGCTGGGATCCCACAGTGAGTTTGGAGGCCGGCGAGGTGGAGCCCAATATCCTGAAGGGCCACTGCCTCTGTGCGCTGTTACTCCATAGCCCCCTTACCCATGCCACGCTGAAGGACGTTGGCAGGGATGAAGGGAGGACTTTGTGAATGCACAGACTGTCAGGTCCCAGGTTGGTCAGGGAGCAGTCCTGAAGGTGCAGACATCAGGAGGATAGCTGTGGCCCAGAGTGAAGGGTTGGTCATTTTGAGTTCCTTGTTTAAATCTGAACACACCCAGAATGGTTTCTGTTACAGGTGCTTGCTGTCCATTATGTGCTGGGATGCTAAGAGTTTTATTTGACAGAGAAAAACTGGACACTATTGCTAAGGTAAATTGCCTGATATCCCTGGCTATTGAACTCTTACTGCTAAACCTCTCAGGAATCCTGGAAAGCAGTGTGTCGTCCCCATTTATAGAAGAAATTAATCCTCAGAAAAGCAGTTTGCTCGCCAGGTGTGATGGCACATGCTTATTATCCTAGCTACTTGGGAGGCTGAGGCAGGAGGGTTGCAAGTTGAAGGCCAGCCTGGGCAACTTAGCAAGATTTTATCTCAGAATAAAATGAAAAGAGTTGAGCAGAATGCTTTCTGGGTTCGATCCCCAGTAGAGGGCTGGGGGGAACACTTGCCCACGGCCCTATAGCTCCCAGTCAGTAGGACTCAGGTTCACACACATATGGCTGACTGACTCCCAGTTTGTGCTCCTTTCTGCCGTACCCTGGCTCTACAGTCAGCCTGAGCCTGGCGGCTGAGAGTAGCCCGTGCCCAAAGGGTTGGAAGGTCCCCTCCCCTCACACTGGCCCCGAGAGGACCTTCTGGGGCCTGCTGTCCTCCTGGGGCAGTTCTGCCCTTTCCCTTCTGTATCGTGGCTTCTTGCTGTTTTCATTTGTAGAGACAGAGCTCCAGCGTGTTAGCAGCCAGCACTTGCCACGACCCAGAGAATTCCTCCCATTTTGTTAGCACACCTCTACAGAAGGACCTTATGTCCCTGTGGCCTCTGACTCAGAGCAGCCCCTTTTGTAAGAGCTCTTTGGGGAGTGTTTATCTTGGCTGCGAGCCCACAGACTGGCAGAACCGCCTTGTGCAGAACCTGCAGACCTAGGCCTTGGCCAGCAGAGCCTAGTCGGGGCCGGTGCAGCAAGGTCGCGAGGACCGTGACAGAAATGTTCTCTCTCTCTAGGTAACAAACAGAAAGCCAATAACAGTTCTGGAGATACTTGAGAAAATCCGCATGCACGTGTCTGTCCCGCAGTGTGATGTGTTTGGATACTTCAGCATTGAGTCTGAAATTGTGGTCCTCGTCATTCCTGTCGATCGTTACCCGAAAGCTCTGCAGGTGGGCTCAGCACACGGTGCAGCCACCACGTTTGGTGGACTGAGAGAGGGCGTGAACCTGGACTGGGGAAGGGCCAGGGGGCTGGCGAGAAGCGGGGGCATCGGGGGACACTGGGAGGGTCCGGGAGAAAAGCAAGGGAGTCTCTGAAGGACTGAGCGTTTTCCAGGCAGCTGGGGCTGAGGCACGTTAGATGGCTGAATGGAAAAGAGCCCGGAGAGGGGAGAGGTGAAGTGCCAGAGGCTCAGTGTGCGGAGGTGAAAGGGACCTAAGAAATCACTGGATCCAATCCACCCGTTGTGCGGACAAGGCCGCCGAGGCCTGGGGAAGAGGGACTGGAACGGGTCGTGCAAAGCCGGTTACAAAGCCAGAGTGGACTCTGCTCCCCTGAGGGCCGTGCTCACTGATTGGCCCTGTGGGCTCCACCTTTCCTTCCTCACAGTGTAGGAGCCCGTGGAGCCTTATGCAAGTGGGCCCAAGTTTTAGCATCAAAGTGGTGAGAGCTCAAGTGAAGGGCATGAGTGAATGTAGGCAGCTTATGTAAACACTCATGTTTACTGAGGCAGTGAGAGTTCATTGCCTAGGGCTGTAAGCAGCCGTGCAGAGATGATGTCTAAGCGTGGGTAAGCGGTGGGGCGAGGTGACAGGAGCCTGTAATCCCATCTACCTGGGAGGCTGAGGCAGGAAGCCAGCAGGTGTGAGACCACATGGACTCTAATCCATCACAAAAAAAGAAGACATTTTTGGTCTCAGTATGTACTCCGGTGATAGACTGTGTCACACCTGACACGTGTGAGACCCTGGGTTTGATCTCCAGCACCACACAAAGCAGAGCACATGTGAATAAGCACTGAGCAGTATGGTAGGAGAGCGGAAGCAGCTGACGGATCATGGCAGGGCCTTGTGGGTCATTTCTTTCCGGCTTGATTCCCATTAATGCTATTCTGTATATAGTAACTGAAGACTATAGTGAAATGTTACTCTGCATAAGAAGAAGAGAAGGCAGACTTCCTGTAGGGCGACACTACTTTGGGAATATAGGCAGAATTTGTCTGACTTGACTTGTTTATTAGATTTATGGCTTTGTATTGAAAGGATCTTATCTTTTCCTCCCAGATTGAGGCCTGCAATAAGGAAGCAGAGAAGATTGAATCCCTTATCAACTCAGACAGCCCCACCCTGGCGTCCCACGTCCCTCTCTCTGCCCTCATCATTTCCCAAGTGCAGGTCTCCAGCAGCCTGCCGTCCACGGGCACTGGGCTCGGCCCTCCCCGCTGCCCCCTGCTCCTCCTCCCGCTCCTCAGCCTGGGCCTCACCTCGAGCTTGCTCTGGATGTAGCCCTGATGCCCGCACAGGGTGCAAAGTATTCCTCAACCTAAGTGTTCTGCCTTGTGAGCGGCATTCGGGACTGCTAGTCGGTAGTCGGATCGTGGCCGAGCAAAAGCACATGTCACCTCTTCTCACCACACAGTATTTTTTTACATTGCCAGTATTGGTAGTAAGGTTTTTGTCTAATTTTTACAAATGTCAGTGTTCTCTCAAGTGCTAAGGAAAGAGGGTGCCTTTCTAGTGATCACTGCCTCATGATTTACATTTTGCCCAGTGGATAGGTCCCCCACTCTAAAACAAATTTAATATCACTAATAAATGATCACTGTTCAGAAAGAGAGCTCACTCTGCTGTTGGGTTCATATCACAGAAACTTAATTTCAGAGTTCCTTAAGTATTAAGTTTGTCCTTATGTTTATTTTTGTACACAGATACCTTCGTCTCTAGAGGCAGGGGTCTGGTGGACAGCCACTGCTATTAGATAGCATGAAGTAAAAATGAAGCTTCCTTGAAATTACTATGTAAATCATCAGGCAGAGTTAAGTTAATTTACAGAAATTTAGTTCAGGACCCCATCTACTGAGTTAAGCAAGAGGAAGCTGACACTCGTACGATACGCTGTGAGTGGCAGTCTCAGCAGTCACTGGTTCGTGCCTGTGTTTCTGTAAAAGGGAAAGGTGACATTGCATCAAAGCATTTCGCATCATGCGATTTTATATTAAACCAGATCTATATTCTTTGGGATTCATGGAGGTAAATTTAGAGTTTTTAAACATCAATCTTTAAACCAATTGCTGCTACTTTATATAATTGCCAAAAAGTTAAATAATTAGTAGGTCATGAAAATAATACATGACTTTTCTATTTTATTATGAAGAAGGTGAATAGCCATATCTGTAAAATGACAATCATGTGTTCACCCAGTACTTTTCGTTCACGAAGACACATTTGCTTTTTGTGTGTGCACAGTGTAGATAAATGTTCTGTCTTTCTATTTTGATATAGAAGTATAAAGAATTGCAGTTTATATATTTAAAAATATAAAGCTGAGTATTAAAACGTTTGCATGTTGTCTAAGAAATTGGATACTTTGAATGTGTTTCACAGTTTAAAATAAGCTATTCAGTGTAATACTTCTTGTTTGTATGCACCTAAACTTAGTTTTTACATGAAGTACTTTTTCAGTATGATATGTACTCTCTGAAATATGTAGGGATATGCTTTTATACCAAAATGTTTTGAAATGTGGGCACTTAAAGCTTTCAGAGTATTTCGGCATTTCTGATGTCTGTTGCAATGACTTATTTCTGTATAAATGTCTTCAATGCAATATACTAGAAAGCTTTCCTATTTTAATAGAAATATTTGTATGTGATCAGGTGTATTTCCAAGCACTGTGAACATTTAAAATGAAACAGTGAGTCACCCGTGGTTTGAGCTGCGTCTTTTGCTGTCTGGCAAATCTCTGAAGTTGGAGTATTATTACCCCAAGCCCAGAGCCCCGGGGAGCAGCGCAGTAGAAGAGAGCAGACCCAGGCATAGCCGGAGGATAGGCAGTGGCAGAGTCAGGCGCACAGGCCCAGCTTCAGTCAGGCATTCAGGACAAAAGCGCCAGGCTTTGTCTCTGAGACCCAGGAACAGACTGGGTCAGTGGTGGAAACCTATGGGCCATGTGCCACAGCCGGTGATTTGTACCACTGAAGAGCTCTGAAAGATTTCGCCATCACTGCACTAGTTAGTTCTACTTCCCACTCCTCTGGTGCCCCGCTCCAGGGCACATGCCAGGCAGAGGGACGCAGAAGTGTGAGGATGGAGGGCCTATCATAGAAGTCGCAGCAGTCAAAAGTCAGAGAGGCTTCTGTCCTGTTCCCCGCTGCAGTGCAGCACGGGTCAGCCGCAGCTCTTCACCCGGTCTTCACTCCAGGACCTATCCCAGTGTCCTCACAAAAGGGACACAGGGAACCACAAGCTGGCTCTGAAGGCTGTGCTCAGAAGTGACATCGTCACCTCTGTCTTCATTTACTGGCCAAAGCAAGTCATGAGGCTGCTCCGAAGTTCAGAGGGTGGGGATGTAAACTCTTCCGCGGTTTTGTGGGTTACGGGCAGGGGCATCGGTGGTTTGAATAATACAGTCTACCCCAGAGGGGCTCCTTCATCAGACTCTGACAGCCAGGACTGACTCAGTCTCCTGTAATACAAGCGGGAGACGGGTGTACGCCAAGGGAGAGAAAGAGCTAGAGGTTGTCCTGCTCTGGGCACACAGTCACAAAAATTCCAAAAATGGTAATAGGAGAAAGCAGCTCAGGCCAGTTCAGGGAGATACTGCTCCTGGAGTGCCGGCTGCCTCCGGGGACACCCAGGCCCCCTTGTGGACTGTCTGTGAATGGCTTCCCAGCACCCAAGCAGGCAGATGCTGTCCAGCAGGAAGTACCCAGAAGTCCAGGAGAGAGCAGCTCTTCAGGAAGAAGACAGTTTAGAAGAGGAAATTACTGCATGAAAGTAAGCTCTAGGGATTTAGTCTTCTACAGATATGGTTAATGAAACCAAGACACTCGAAAAATACTTGAAGCCAGTCATGGTAGTACACACCTGTAATCTCAGCACAATGGAGACTGAGGCAGCAGGAGCACAAATTCAAGCCCAGCCTGGGCAACTTAGTGAGTTAGTGAGACCCCCATCTCAGAAATAAAAGAAGACCTGGGAATGTAGCTTAGTGTGAAATGGCTCCCTGTCCAATGTACACAGAATAACTGGGAATGGACCCCAAAAGCCTAGAGAGTTGGCCTGGATCCATAACCACCCCTGTGGCAGAGGAAGAAATCAGAAGTTCCAGATGGAATTGTGCATGGTGGTGCATGTGTGTTATCCTAGCACTCGGGAGGCTGAGGCAGGAGGATCACTATGAGTTGGAGGCCTGCCTGGACTACGTAGCAAGACCTCACCTCACACACACACACACACACACACACACACACACACACACCCCAGATGGAATGGGTTTCCTACGTGAAAGAATTCTGTTCCTAGAAGACACCTGTTAGGTGTGTCCTCCAGGGCATATGCATCTCCCTACCAGGCCATTATTCCCTGAACCACCTGTGACCCTCAGCAGTCTCCCCCATCAGGCCAGGTACACACCCAGAAGTGCTGCACATAAAGGCCAGCACATCCCACTGACAACCAGTGAGGTGCAGATTCAGAAGGACTTACAGAAAAGTGAAGTATCAAAAGTGCCTGATATGCTGGATGCGGTGGTGCATGCCTATAATCCCAGCACTCTGGAGGCTGAGGCAGGAAGATTGCTGTGAGTTCCAGGCCAGCCTGAACTAACAGCAAGACCCTGCCTCAAAACAAAACAAAAAAAGTGACCGATCCTGCAATAATTCTCATACCCAGAGAAAAATGGCAACAAAGCTCAAAAGTGATTATGGGTGAGGAACTTGGAGAAGATTGTGTTGGCTTCCTGCGTACACAGCTCCAGGTCTGCTGTGGTGTGAGTGTGTCCACAGGGCCAACATGTGAGCAAAAGTGCACCGCCCATCAGGTGTGTGGGACTTGGACGCCGTGCTGGAGGGACATGCAAAGCCTCTGGCCTTGCTCTTCCAGCCGCACGAGCGCAGGACTCTGTGAGTCAGCCCTCCGCCACTGGGCCTGCCATTGGGCTGTGCTTTCTCCACTGTCCCGGGAGCACCCTGAGCTCTACGGAGGAAACACAAACAGAGCTCTAGGTTTCAGCTCCTCTGTGGGAAAGTTAACTCACCAGGATACAAACCTCAGAAGAAAATCGATTTTCGTGTACTCGGTTTAATGCTTCTCCTCTAGCACTGAGCTAGTGGGAACGAAGCCCAAACGTTCCCACAGGGTGGTCTGTTTCCCAAAGGGACAAGAGACCCTGCTCCTGGACCCTGACCCTCCTCTCCCTCCCTCCTTGCTGGCTGCAAGAGGCTTGAATTATGAGCTTTGCCAGCTGAAGGGAAGGGAAGGCAGAGGACTTGTTCCTGGGGCGTTCTTCTCCCAGCCCAGGATTTGGGGCTGGAGAGCGGACTCCACTGCGGGTAGAGGGTCACACACTGAGTCCGGGCAGGGCCACAGCTGGAGGCCACGCCTAGGCCTTCTCTGCACAAGGAGGCGTCTCAGGATGCAGCCAGTCACACAGGAGAGGCCGCGATGGTGGGCGCTGAGGGGTGGGCAGAGTGAGACAGGGTCACCCGAGGCCAGACTGACAAGGGTCTGAGCAGACACGCCCAAGGAGACAGGGATCGTAAAAGTAACAGCCACAGCTGGCCCGCGAACTTCGCGGTTTACACAGTGCTTGATGTACACAGACAGCAAATGTCAGCTCCAAGTCTGAGTCACATTCTGGATCTGCGCCTGGGGAGCTAAGTTGATGGGGCAAGGGGAGACAGGAGATCCTCTCTCTGGCAGCATGCTAACACCCTGCCCCAGTCATCCGCTCTTCCTGTTGTCCAAAATGAAGACTACTGTGCCGGTTTTTCTACAAAAAGTATATATGCATTCCCCCAAACACCTGGAAGCATAAAGGAAAAGCCTCACACCTTTCTCTCAGCCTGTGCCAAACAGTCATCTGTCTCTGCATGTGTCTCTGAGTGTGACTGCGACAGGATCCCTCCTCCTCCCTACCTTACCGCCCTGTGAGAGGACGTTCAGGGAAACGTGGTTTTGCATTTGGGATAGCACCTGCTTGTGGCTTCTTTCCTGCCTAACAGTTCATAGGTGGAAAGCCCCCTTGGGGAGGGCCCAGCAGGTAGTCAGGTGGCCTGTGCTGCTTTTCTGGAGGAACACCACCTGTCTCCCCAGACCAGGCTCCATGAGGTTTGCTGCAGATGTGAGCAGTTGCTTTGCTGAGGAATCCAGTTGGTCAGGGTCCCTGCGGGAAAACAGACGGCCTACATTACTTAGAGTTAACTTGAGGAAGGCTTAGTAAAGGGGTTGTCTACACAGGTGGACAGGTGCAGGGAACCCACAGGGAATGGGCAGCACACCGGGCTGTGCCAGTGGGTCTGGGAGTTTCCGGAGCTCAGTGGGTGAGGCGGGTAGAACCCTCTCCCTGCCGTGGAGAAGGCCGGTCCTCCCTCCTGGCCCCCCTGTAGCTCCATTGGGAACCCAATGGGAAACGGAGGGAGGATAAGGGAGCCTTTTGAGGTGGCTGTGCAGCTCAGCTTCCAGGCAGAGAGCAGGACAGAGTTGATCTATGGAAGGAAATGGAGGAAGAGGAAGAGGAAGGGATGATATGCAGCACAGGAGTCCAGGACGGTGCTGAGCAGAGGCCCGGAACATGGACTTCATTCCACTGCACCGCCCGCACTGAGAGGCCACCGCGTGCCTCTTCCTTCCTGACCTCGCTGTCTCCTAAGTCCCCGTCTTCCGCCCCACCCCGTCTTCACATGTCCCAGGGCTCCACCCAGCCCCCTGAGAATCCCCCATCCTGCTGTAGCCAGCAAGGGAGTTCTGGCCCTCTGCCCCTCGAGTGACACCAAGGCTGGCACCCAGGCCACAGCACTCATTCAAACAGCTGCAGAAACTTCCTTCTGCCCAGGCCGGCTGGCTCGGAAGCGGAGGGCTGCAGGAGTAGGGGAAGGCGGCTGCTCCCAAGAGAGCACACCTCATCAAGTGAGTGTTCGTTTTCTCCCTACAACAGTCTGTGAGGAAGGAAAAGCCATAATGAAATGAATTTGGTTGTGAGTCTGATCAAGTCTAGACTGGGTGACTTTAAAAGGTGTTCTTGCTATTGTCAGTGTTTCCCCTGGACCTTCTCCAGCTGGTTGGTGGTGCTGTGTAAAAAAGCTCACAGTAACTTGGAAATTGGTATTAGCTGGTTTGGTGTTCCCAGCAACTAATGACGAGAATAAACCATACCACTGAACTTCACCAAGAACTGGCTTTTGGTTTCATTGATTTTTCTCTATTGTTTTCCCAATTGTTATTTTACTGATTTTTTAAAAAAAATTTTTTTTCAGTACTGAGGATTGAAGCCAGGGCCTCACACATGCTAGGCAAAAGCTACCAAAATAACAGAATGGCATGTCTTTACAAATCAATAAATATAAGGTTTAGAATTCCAAGATACAGGAATCAGTAATAGAGATCTTTCATTAATTTTCCTTCTTTTCTAAACAAGGAAGTATCTAGGAGTAGGAAGTTACTATAGGCCGAGTGTGGTGGTGCACGCCAGTAACTCCAGCACTCAGGATACAGAGGCAGGAGGATTGCCCTGAGTTCGAAACCAGCCTGGCCTATATAGTGAGTTCAAGGCCAGCCTAAACTACAGAGCAAGAACCTATCTCAAAAAGGAAAAAGAAGAAGAAGAAGAAGAAAAAAAGAAGTCATCATGCTTTTTCCTCAGCCATCTGATGGTGAATCTTCTTACTGGTTCCAGCACTCTGCACAGACTCACATGAGAGTCTCGGGAAGGGGACACATCTATACTTTAGCTCCCTATACATAACCTGGTCATACTTCTCCCTTTTCTACCTTCTTTCTTTCCACCCTATATTTAAGATTGCCAGAGATGTCATCTAACTCCAGTTTTTCTTTCTCATTTGGAGCACTGGAAGTGAATTTGCTATGTACATCAACAGGAATATTACTACAAATAATACTCCACAGCGGCAAAATGTAAAATTTGGCAAACAGTTGTGCTTTTTTTCTTTTTTTTACGCCTTACACTTATGACCTCCTGGACTAGAGCAGCTTAAGCCTTCTGTATTATGCTCCTATTGACAGTTTCTATGGAAGAAGTGTTATGGGACAAATAACCAAGTAACCAAGGAAGGAATATTACCAGTGATTGACTCCTTCCATAGTGACAAAAGAGACAGTTTACCAGGGGAGGGGTGTAGCTCAGTGGCAGAGTACTTGTCTAACATTTCTGAGGCCCTAGATTTCACCTACTACAAAAAAAAAAAAAAAAAAAGATGATATAAGAATCATAAATGTTTATGCTCTCAATACAAATGTTCAAAGTACAGGAAGCAAAACTGATAGAACCTAAAGGAGAAAAAAACAAGCCCACAATTACAGCTGAAGGGCTCAATATCCCTCTCAATATTTGATAGAACAGGCAGAAAATTTATTAAGAATATAAAAGATGAACAGTTCTATCAATCAACTTTATCTAATTGACATTTAAAAACATTGTACCCAATGAAAACAGAATACACAGTTTTTTCAAGAGTACAGAGATGGGGCTGGGATATAGCTCAGTGGCACTGTGCCTGCCTAGTAAGCACAAGGTTGTGAGTTCAATTCCCGGTACAAAAAAAAAAAAAAGAGTACAGAGAATATTTATCAACATGGGCCATAAAACAATTCTTAGTAACTGTTACAGATGTAAAGTCACACAACGTATATTCTCTGTCCCCCAAAGAATTAAGTGGGGCTAGGCATGGTGGCACACACCTGTAATCCCAGCACTCGGGAAGCTGAGGCAGGAGGAGTGCTGTGAGTTTGAGGCAAGCCTAGACTACAAAGTGAGCACAAGGCCAGCCTGAACTGCATAGGGAGACCCTGTCTCCAAAAGACAAAAAACAAAACAAAACAAAAAGTGAGAATCAATGACACAAAGATATCAGGAAAGGTCTCAAATATTTATAAACTAACATTTTAAAAAATAACTCATAAATCAAAAAATAAATCATGAAATTAAAAAGTGCTTATAAGTGAATGAAAATTAAAACAGTGTATCAAAATTGGTGCCAAATTTGATGCTGTTACAGGGAAATTCATAGCACTAAATGCTTATATGAGAGAAAAAGGCTTGAAGTCAACAACCTCAACTCCACCTGGAGAAGCTGAAGAAAGCAGAAATCAGTGTGGTGGCGTGGGCCTGTAATCCCAGACACTCTGGATCCGAGGCACAAGGGTCAAAGTTCAAGGCCAGCCCCGCACAGTTGAGTGAGATTCTGTCAACATGAGGGTAACGGCTGAGCATAGCTCGGCAGTAGAGTCTGCGCAGCACGTGTGAGGCCCTGGTTTGATCCCCAGTACCGCCAACAGAAAGAAAAGATTTAAAAAGTCAGTAAAATAACAATTGGGAAAACAATACAGAAGGAAACCAAAAGCCAGTTTTTGGTGAAGTTCAGTGGTGTAGTTTATTCTCATCATTAGTTGCTGGGAACACTAGTTAGCTAATATTGAACAACTTCCAAGTTACTGTGCACCTCTGAGCACAACATTTTGTTTGTTTTTGTTTTTTGAGACAGAGTCTTGCTATGTAGCCCAGGAGATTCTCCTGCCTCAGCCTGAGCTGGGATTACAAGCATGCGCCATCATGCTGGGCCTCTGGCTACAATTTTTTATAAACCAATCAACACATAATTTTGTTTAATGTGTGCTTCTATTTAAAGACATTTAATATATATTGCTGATTCATTAAAATTGGACTGATGGTCAACAGCATCACAACTCATGCTTAAGTGAAGTTTACCTAATTAAAGCACATTCTCTCTGTAAGGCACATCACAATCTTGCATTTAGAAATAGTAAATGGCATTTTAAGACCATGCTTTTGAGCCATTTTAAACAGTAAAATCACCAAGAAAAGCACAAAAATGTAGAGAGCGTCACTAAATAGACTGCAGGAAGAACACTTAGAGGGGACAGCTGAAACAAGAAGAATGTCACCTTTCAACCTCAGCTGGGGCCTTGCATGTTGGGCAGCTTAAATGCTTTGCCACTCCGTACACACCTGCAGATGATCACGCAAGCATCTGTGTACTAATTTGGGAGAGTCCATAAGTCCTAGGGAGTAGACAAATTCATAAAACTTAATGCACAAATAATAAAAATCAACTGTATTGGTAAACCTCTGGAAGTTACCAATATTAGAAATGATAAGGAGCTACCATCACAGATTATACAGACAATAAAAGGATACTAAAATATGAACAATTTTATACCTATAAATTTAACCACTTAGATTTAAGGACATGGACAAATTTCATAAAAGATCCAAATTGCCACTGCTCACTTGTGATGCTGAATCTGTAGTTTAAACCTTCATCCTCCCCCACAAAAATCAAAATCACCCCAGATAGATGGCTTTGTTGTTGATTTATAGTAAATATTTAAGAATAAAATAATATTAATTCTAAACAAATTCTTTCAGGAAATAGGAGAGAACCCTTCTCAAACTTATTTATAATGCAGAATGTGTTTATAATGCAGCATTGCTCTGATTCCTAAATCCAGAAAAAAAATTACAAGAATAAAAAATGAAGTACTGACCAAGATTCTACTACAAAGTTTAGAGAGATTAAAGAAGATATAACTATAAACATATACTATCTTGTTAGATCAACAAACTCTATACTGTTGAGATCAATTCTCTGCAAATTCAAATATGAATTTGATACAATCCCAATAAAAATCCTAGCAGCCTTTTGTTTTGTTTTGTTTCCCAGTAATTGACAAGCTGACTCTAAAATTTAAATGGAAATGCAAAGGACCTAACTTGAATAGAACAATTTTTGAAAGAAAAAGAAAAAGCTGGGCGTGGCAGCGCACACCTGTAATCCCAGCACTTGGGAGGCTGAGGCAGGAGGATTGTTGGGAGTTCGAGACCAGCCTGGGCTACAAAGTGAGCTCAAGTTCAGCCTGAACTGCATAGCGAGACCCTGTCTCAAAAAAAAAAAAAAGAATACAAGATTTATACTACCTGATTGAAAAGCTTGTAAGACTACAGTGCCAGGCATGATGACACACAGCTGTACGTGTATTCTAGCACTCTGGGAAGCTGAGGCAGGAAGACTGAAACTTCAAGCTCAACCTGTGGAATTTAGCAACTTAGTGAAGACCTTGTCTCAAAGTGAGTTTTTTTAGAAAAGGTCTGGGGATATAGCTCAGTGTGAAGGCCCTGGGTTCAATCCTCAGAACCACACATATATACACACACACACACACAGACACACACATACACACTACAATAATGTACACAGTGTGGTATTAGTATAAAAGTGCATATATAGCCAGGCATGGTAGCACACGTCTGTAATCCTAGCACTCAGGACACTGAGGCAGGAGGATTGCTGCCAGTTCAAGGCCAACCCAGGCTACATAATGAGACTTTGTCTCAAAAAAAACCTAATAAACAAATAATAATAATAATAATGCACATGTAGACAAGTGGAACAGAACAGACAGCATATGGAAAGGAATAATCTTTTCAAGAAATGGTATCAGAGCTGAAGTAGGAGATAAAGAACAAGTAAACAGCAGGAGGGGCTGGGGATTTAGCTCAGCGGCAAAGCACCTGCCTGGCAAGCGCAAGGTGGTGAGTTCGGTTCCTGGTACGGGAGAAAAACCAAACCAAACCAAACCAAACCAAACAAAACAAAAAAAGTAAACAGCAGGAAACTGGGAGGCAAGGGTAGAGAAACCGGACAGCAAGGAGGGCTGTGCCAAACACTAGCAGCCAACAAGTGAAGGCCACCCTGTCCCCGACATCCCCAGGCAGGCACAAAACCAGCGCACACGACCCTGGCCCGCATCCAACCCCATTTGCCTTGTGGTTTGGCCCCCTAGCGGCTTTGGACGTCACGACACCTCCTCTATAAACCTTGTATAATCAACCGGGGGCAGAGTCAGGTTCCCCACCGAGCCACAGTTCCTATCATCACTTTCAGCCTGTGGACCCTCCCATAATCCCAGGACCTTGAGAGACCCAGTGCCTGCCCCTATAGGGACTGTGGGCTCTTCTCACGGGCCTGCTCCTACCCTGAGGGGTGCACTTTCCTTCCTTTTGCTTTTAATCAGTCTTACTCTGGGTACTCCTAAGTGTCCTGCTTGTCTTGCTCTGAGCTACCAAAAGCCTGGAAACAGCTTCCCGGGACAGGGAATGAGACAGCTGCATGTGTATACTCCAAATAAGAAAAAAGAAACACTGCCTTTACTTCACACTCGGCACAATTATCAAAATGAATGAAAGAGCTGAAGTTAAATGTTGCAGCTAAAACTCTCAAATATCCAGAAAAAAGGGACAAAGTTTTCCTGACTTCTTTCCTGCTGCTGTTGGGGACCACTACAAAGTGGCTCCGAGCAGGACCTAATATTAATCAACTGGCTTTCCGTGTTTACTTGTGAGTTGTCTGAAGACCGCAGCTGAGGACAGGACGTCTGGCTCCAACCTCAGTTAACTTCAAGGAGACTGCAGCTGCAGGCATCTCCCTCCTGCTGTGAAGGCCTTCCTGGAGATAACACAGTTCTCCTAAATTAACATCATGTGTTACTTGGAAAAGTCCTGCCCAGATTCCCGTGCTTTTTTGAGTATCCTTCTCCTTTGTTTGTAAACCTAATAAACAGGGCTGCCCAGAGAAGTCTTTGGCTAACTCAGAGAATACCGAAGCTGTAAGAGGGTTAGTCCCTCCTGGTGCCCTAAAATCATTGCCGTTGTCTGCATTTATTTAAGCCTTCGCAGTTCACTCGCGTGACAGATAACAGGCCTGATCAGCCTGCAATAACTTAGGGTTATTTAACCCGGTTTTCGATTCCTACAGTGCTGGAAATTGAACCCAGGGCTTTCCCCAGGCCAGCCACATGTTCTACCACTGAACCCCAACCCAGCCCATGAGCAGTGAAAGGAGACATAAATCCAACCCCCCATACTGATAAACTGGAACAATTGCTCTTCTTTGTGTCAGACCTTTACTACTGTGTCTGCTGGCCTGAGCAGGGTCTCCCTCTCCCAGCAGCCCATGGTCCTTGCTGGGGGTCAGCTTTGGTGCTGCCCTAATGCCACCTGGCACCTTGTCCGTGTGCCTGCTGCTAAGGTCATCTGGGAGAGCCCACAGCACCCACCTGCATGGCCTCCACAGATGTCATGGGTTAGGAATGCGACTCTGCCCATTGGAAGGTGGGTCCCAGATCGATTTCTCCCTGGGCTCAACTGTCTCCATCCATAGCCTAGTTGGTTTTTTTCATAGCCTAGTTTTGGTCATACGGAAATAGCTTTCTACAGATTCAAAGGTCAATATGGAATTCTCCTGTGTTCATCTGCTCATTGTAATATTGATTTGTTAGTAAAATGGAAGAGAGAATTGAACAGAGTGGGTTTACATCTCTACCCACCATCACAAGTCTCCTTTGAGTCAGAGTGGGTACCAATTTGACCCACCCACACTGTTGAAAAGTCCTGACGTACAGTAAGTGTGTTTGTCTGACACAGGAGACGGAATGGAGAAGAGAGTACCCAGTCTAGCTGTGGTTCTGGGCCATTGGTGTTACAGTTTCTGCCTTCATAATCAGTGAATCTATTCAGTTCAGGGCCCACTCACCGGACAGACTTCAATGAGGCATTCTGAGTCCCGTCCCTACTAAGCAGCTACCTTGGGGGTCTGGCACAGGTGACTCAGGGCTCTTCCAGTACCAAGTGTGATGGTCAAACTTGACCGTGTCAACTTCAGGCTTGGGAGCCACCCAGGGATCAGTGGAGCACACTCTGGGTGTGTCGGGGTGAGTCATGGAGGCGTCTTTGTTCTACAGCACTCTGCTGCCGCGATGTTCCTGGCCTGGAGCCGGCCGGCCATGACCTGAACCCCCTGAAACTGTGAGCTGAACTAACCCGCTCCTCCTTCGAAGTGAGTGTCTGGTACTGCGTCCCAACCAGAGAAAGCTGACTAACACACGAGGTACACCGCCACCACGACGAGGAAAGGTCGGACGCTGGAAAGGCGCATAGCCTAGGGGGTGCGCGGCCCGCGGACGGAGCAGAGGCCAGCAGGCTCTCGGCCGAGACACCGCCCGGGCAGTCAGGAGGCGGAAATCCTGGGAGCCATGAAGACATGACGCTAAGCAACGTGACCAGACGCAGAGGGTGAAATCCCCGGTGTCTCTATACGAGGAACTCAAAGTGCGGGCAATTTAAAAAGCAAAATAAAAGATTACAGGAAATAAGGCGGTAGACTTTTCGCGGACGGGAAGGAATGCAGGGCGAAGGAAGGGGGAGAGGAAGGAAAGAGGGAAACGCGAAAAGGACGAAGACGTGAAGCGTGTGCTCGCGTGCGCGCCTCCCGCGAGGAGCACCGCTTACGTGCGGCAGACACGCCGCGGTCAGACGGGGAAGGGGAACCCGCC